CGAAGTTACGGCGGGTTTAAGTGGTGTTGAAAAGGTATCGGACTGTTTGATGCACCACTTATAGCTTCGTCAGTATTGACATGAGTTTGCAATGTGCGACAGGGATCCAGACTTTCGAACAGATCTCAAGGAAAGATGCATCAATCCTAATGTACGCCTTCCTCCTTTTTCAGCCTCATCATGCACCGTAGGTGTGTTTACCATTTGACTTGATTCAACGTCAAAATACTCACGCAACATGCCGTCGTTTCCACGGCTCATTTGCGTTGTTTGCTTAACAATCATCCTCATACACCCCTTTTGCGAGTCATCACTGCACCGTCTTCTAAAGACATACGAAGTACTGACTTATGAAACAGACCGTCTGGCAAAGCATCATAGACGAACGCGGTCTGTCTCTGCTGAGCAACCCGTGGAACATATGGAACTTCAGATATTGGCATTCGGGAAGAATTTAACTATCGTCCTAAATCATGATTATGATGTTATTCATTCCAATGCACGTTTGACAATTTCTGGTTCGCACCGTCCATTAGACCTTTCTAATTATGCAAACCATATGGTGCGTGGTTCTGCCGCTAACTATCCGAAAAGCAAGGTTTACGGAAGCATTGTGAATGGTGTGTTCCGTGGAACGATCGTTATGGACCTATCAAAAGTTAATTCGGATTCATTCATCCTGTCAGACTCCTACTTTGTGGAGCCGGCCGGGTATTACTTTGAGGATATCACTGAATTCCATTCGATAATATACCATTCATCCCATGTTCGCCAGCCAGAACGGCACATGCATCCTACTCCCGAATTTCCTGCCACGGTTTCCCACTTCTGCGGACTTTCCGATCCCCTTGTCGTTCAGAAAATGCAATCCCTATCTATGCCAACAGCAGCACAAGAGCGTAAACTAAGTGAGTCATATTCTCTGTCCCACTGTTATCTCTCTCTCCCTGTTCTATTCCATATGCTGCATGCATGCATTTTAAAATGTCTGTTTGGCAATTAATAACAAAATGGTGTCATTTTATTTAGTGTCTCTCATAAGAAGCTCAATTATTGTCGGGAAACTTATTCGGTCAATAAACTCCTTATCATTTTGGTGCTAACTTACAAAGCAAATTCTCGAAGTCTAGCATCTAAGTTATTAAAAAATTTTCGAAGGGTATTGGTTATGCCTATGATGACACTGTATCTGTGTTAAATGTACGCTGACCGTATCAGTATGCTTCCTCATCCAGAGGATAATGCAGTTAATGATCGTCTTCTTCCTGGTTGGTACCGAGGAGAATATGGATGATGTTAGGAAGCTGTACTGTCGTTCGGTTGAATACTGCACCCCACCTAACCGTACCTAGTGGTTCGCTACTCAGAGCTTAGGATACTGGTTCCCATCACTGAATAGCAGATTCACGCGACTATGGGGTTGACCTCTTCCTCTCTTGATTACATAAAATGTGTTTGGTAATTGAAAAGGTTCAGTGGAGCAAATTATTAGCAATTTCAAAGCCTTCGGTTGAAACATTATGTTTTTGGGAACCCTGTTGCTCACTTTCGATCAGTGAACAGTTCCAGGAATGTGTCTGATCAGGTACATGCAAAACAAGTCAGAAAAAATATGGAAAAGTGATAAGATAGAGTACATGTAAAGCGTGCTACCGTGAGTAAGAGTTTGTTAGCAGGAGCTCAGATATGGGTGCCACTTAGCAGATGGCTTGTTAATGCTTTACAATATGAAATAGACGATTTTTTCATTGGCTTAAGGTTAACAACCGTACTGAGCGAATGAGGAACAACTACTGGGGAGACCGTATACGCTTTGCCAGCAGTGTTGTAAGAATGGTTGACCGATTCGAATGATGGTAGGTTACACTGAAGTTGTCCAAAGTAACTGCTTGTTCCTTATCAATGCCAAACAAGCAACTATAGCGCACGAAATACCTTTTTTGCATTCCAGTTTTGCTGCATTTTTCAATAACACCCATACGTAGGGTTTATTTATATCTATATTTCATGTGTCTAGTTCAGACTGGGTTCCTAATAAATTACGGTACGTCAATCTTTACAACACAGTAAAACATTCCATGATTTGTGCGTGGGCATAATACTGCTGGGTTGCCCGGGCCAAAGTAGGTGAATTTTCTTGTCGAATGCACAACCAAAGCCTTCGGCTGTTCAACCCCTGACCCACAAACCAGCTGGACAGTGTGAGAAAACCACAATCCAGTTGAAGCCGGTGTCCGGTTGATCATGCATGTTTTGGACCGGGTAAAACGTCCAAGGTGCCCAGTATACCTTGATGCTCAGTAAAACCTGTGATCACTGTTACAACCAGGAAGGCATGTGTGGTTTGTACGCCTCTTCTACTTGGTTTGAAATCAGGACTTTTAGCCGCCCCCCAGAAGGTGAACTGCCGGTGGTTTACCCCGGCTGTTGGCTTTTCATCCTCACCTTGGTGGGAAACCACCACCAACTCCTCCTCGGGAAGGCTTCCTCAGCAGAGGTTATTTGAGGCGCATGGTCGTATAGGAGCATTTCATGAGGTGCAAGGTTAGGGCTATCAATCACAATCCGAGACTCTCAGCTCGGACAATATTGAAGCTTTCGAAGGCCCAATTCTGTAAAGATATTTACTCTTTGGAGGCATAAAGTGCATGACACTTAATTACGCTGACACTTAAAACACCCGGAATGGCTTGCAATATTTTTAGGGTAAGTACTCGATCTGCATAGATTACGTTGACTGGAGCTCGTGTTACGCATGCCATAAAGTGGGCTACCACGGAGAGTAATGTTTGCTAAGATAGGTAAGTGGTGGAAGAAGGTCAAAGGTGGTCGCATTAAAATCCAAAATGAGGGAATGAAAAACTCTGCTCAAATAGTTCACTTTAGGATCCCTGGTTAGGGACCTTAGGATCAGCGCTTTTGGTGATGTACTCATATATTCGTGCATCTCCTCAATTTATTTGCAACCTTATTCTAGTTGAATTACTTATTGTCTCCCGGACACTGTTTCCGATGTTCCAGTCTTCCTTGTATTCCTTCATCGACCCGTAGTCAATAGACTGTCTACGGATAGCACATTTGTGTGCTACCGAGCGTGTCTCCAGGTCGCGGATAGGAGAACGGCCAACTTGGTGGTTAACCGTGAATAGGTGGGGGGCACGCCACTGATCGGTCGCGGACGATCAACGGCGATGCTAGAGGACGTGGTGGGGTTTCCTGCTGGAAACCGGTATCCCTTATAAAAATCCCAAGTGACTGCCGACAGCATCGTGACGTGTACCAATGTGACCCGCCACCAAATAAGGCCATTGCCACTTACCCACTCGTCTGGGTAGGACAAGCGTTGAGGAATTCTCCCGATCCTCAAACCGCAGGGACATGTTTGGATCCTGGACCGGCGCTGAGCCATGCGAAAGGCGTGTGAACCATTCTGACGGTTACCGGCTGTCAACTATTCTACCCTGTTACACATTTTCGACTGAAACTTCTCCACGACAGAAGCCCTCTCTATTAACGGGAGCTTGTCGAATCAGCGGGAGTTTTCAAGTATCCTGGCTCTACTATTAGACAACGGTCAGGCTAAAGATGAAATTCAACTTCGTGTAGATGTAAATGTAAAATAAAAAATGTATTTTTACTTCCTTTTTTATTTATCGAAATACAAATGTACAGTCAACATTCGGGAATGTGAGCCGCCACCATACGAAGGCTGCCTGGGAAGACGGGCGGTGGTGGAGCGGTTCAAACCAGGGACTGACAGGTCACAAGTTGGTGATCTAACCACTTGTCCACCACCGCTCAATGGAGCTAGAAGAGCCTGAAGCTCTTCCAACCGTTGTGGAATCGATGGGGAATAAGCTTAAACGCTAATCTTCGGTTCATCAAGCCTCCATCCGTCCCATCCTCACTTATGGTTGGGAGACATGGACGCTAAGAATTGAAGGTACAAAGAAACCCGAGATCTTTAATCATCTGTGCTTATGCCGCATCTCGAAAGCAACTTTGAGAGATCGGATTTCCAATGACGGCTCTGCTCAAACATCGACAGGCCTTGGAAAATGCTAGAGCGCCGCGCCTTTAGCGCTCCGAAGGCCCGACGCTCAAGTTTCGCAGCAGACTATAGTCCCTGCACCAACTCGGTAAACTGAAGACCTGGAGCAGTACGATCAAGGCGGACTTGGAATTACTGGGCCTTCAATCCGTATATGGAATTCGTCACTGGAACCAGAACTGGGTCTCACACTGTGCAAACCTTGCTGCTGATCATCACACATAGGCTACCATCGTTAGAGACATCCAAGAAGCTGACTTATTCTCCTGCAGGAGCTAGTCCCTCAAAAGTAAAGTAAAATTAAGGAAGTATTCCTTTATCGAAATGAGAACCCGAAAGACGGCAACCAAAACCGCTGCACAAAGAAGCATGGTTAATGGTTCTACAAACTGGAATTGAGACCGAAATCTGAATCCACACTC